AATTTTTATGGACTAATTTATTTTTGTTTTGTTTTTGGCTTGAAAGTTTTAAACCTTTTGAAATTTTAGGATTGGCCGGTTATGGCCTAAACATGTTTCATGGGGAAAAACTTGTGGTAGAGATCTTATTTTCTTTGACTTTGAACTATATGTGTATTAACAAAAAAAAAACTATTTTTGTATTTCAAATTAATAATTAAGAAATTAACAATTATTTTTAATTGAATAAACAGCATTTTTACATACGCATGTTGTAAAATCGTGGATCTGTTTTTTACCCATGAAATTTCTATGTACTGTATTTAACGAAATCAAAATAATTTTGTTGTGTTTTTTTTCTTTTCTAAATACTAGAAAAATAAGTATATTTTTAAATATAGCTAAAGAGTTGGTAAATTTATTTAAGAACCTTAGATTGCATTATTGTCTTTCTAGATGGTACAGCTGAGAGACATTGCATTATTTATTTTCGAGATGGTACAAATGAGACAGCTTCGCCTTAGCATGAACCTATCGAAAGTATAGTGTGTGAGATATTCACAAGTGGCGAATCTCTCCTAGTGAGATTTCGATTTAGTGGATTAACCTACATAAATAAAATAAAAATGAATAATGATGGGAATAAAAATAAAGCAATATGACGACAAGCGAACATATAATTCGACAGCCTATTAATGGAAAGCAAAACTGAAAATGGTACCATGTTATTTTTTGTTGTCACTAGATAATATCATACAAACCAGGGTAAAATTACAAAGCCGCATACACCGGGAGCATAGTCCGAAAGTTTATTGGGGAGCATAGCCCGAAAATTTATCGGGGAGCATAATATAAAACAGTACGATTGTCTAGAATTCATAACTACAACTAAACAAGAGTAAGAAAGAACCACTCGTAATCGCCGGATAGCGCGAAAAGAGCAGTAGACACGGTGCAACAAAGCTCACCAGCTGACGACAAGGCAGGGGGAAACCGCGAAGAAATAGCCCAAATAAGATGATTAGCTAGAACCAAGAACCACAAACGGTGAACTAAACTCCTAACCACCTAATCTTCAACCTGAAGAGTCTAAATCAAGAACTTTGCATCCCCACAAGAGGTTAGCCTTACAAGAACCGACTCCGGTAGACCACAGGCGAAAACTAATTATTGACTAAACTAAGGGACGGTGGAAGGAGGCTGAGAAAGAAACACCGCAATAAGAATAAGCTAATCAAATATTACCCACCTCAAACCGACAACAAACGCATACTCAAACCAAAGATTAGCAAGCGTAAATCCAAAACTCTAGTAAAGAGGAAGAGAGCAAATACTAGACAAACGGCCAAACAAAATACAGAACAAGCAAACCACCTAAAGAAGATGCATTAAGAATCAAAATCTGTTCCTAACGGAGAGATCCCAACCTAAAACACAAACTCCTAGCCAACAAACGAAGCCGAAGATCTAAGAACCAAGCCTACGCAAAGAAAACAANAGGATAATATGAGGCCTAAACAATCGCTAACCCCACCAAAGCATAAATCGAGACCATACACAAGCAAGCAAATCTTCAACAGNGTCNAAGGGCGAGCCCAAATCTCGTCACTCGGAGGGGAAAGGTTCAAATCCGACTATAAACTCAGAACGGTAACAAGGGGAGTACGATTGCGCAGCCAACCCAGACTTCTCATAACACTAAGAAGGAACCGGAATATCCTCTTCACCGACAGAGCCCAAGACGCATCCGAAACTGCAGACAAACCCGAGCAAAATCCTCAAGAATCGAAACCATATCTCGCTTATTTAGATCCAACGACTGGACGAAACAGAGGAAGACGACATGAGAATACACATAGGACATGGGAACCGGCGCTATGGAAACCGCCGGTCACCGATCCAAAATCTAAGAATTTTGGAGAATGCTACTGTAGCGGCGGCTGGGAGTTTTTTAGAGAGAGAACTAGGTACCATGTTATATAATCTATCTTTTTGTCAAATACTATATAGTCTCTCTTATGGATTTTAATTAATTAGACTAAAAATATATATGATTACGTTTGCCAAAAATTATTATGTGGAATGGATGAGGTTTGAAAATTCATTTTGATACCAATCGTTTCTTTTTTCATATTATGATAAAGACTATAATTTCTTACAGATATTTTATTTTGGTATTCTAAAATACCGTAATGTAATTTTAAATATTCCCTAATTGGATAACCAATTCTGGTTGACAAAATATATATATTCCAAAATTTCTTTGTTGTTTGTTTGATAGACTAATAGACACATATTTTTAACCGGCTTTCACATTCCTAATTTTAGGAATCGTTTAGGTTAGAGAATGGTACGGACTAAATTATTCATAGTGACACGATAGTGATTTAATCAAAAGATAAGATTATTCATAAAATAAACCGTAAACCCATCAATTCCAACAAAATAATTGAAAAAGATTTTTTTTTAGGTGCTTTCGACCAAAATCGAATGCCAAATTACAGCGTACACTCCACACGTGCTCTTCAAGTACTCTTCAA